ACCCTTCCAATGGTCATTTAAAGGGGGGGGTTAATTAGGCCCCCCCCAGAGCCCCAAAATTGGGGTATTTTAGACCCCCCCTCAATGGTCAATAATTTTGGGGGGGGCTGGAAGTTGCCCCCCCCCTCAAGGTCAGGTGTTTCCCACTTGGATTTTTCCCGGTTTTCCATGTTTTTCCCGCATTCCCAGATTTCCCAGGGGGATTTGGGAGGGGGGGGTCTCTGTGTGACCCCCCCCCCGAGGCTTTTCCAAGGGTGTTGGATCCCGTGGGATCCCCGGGATGGCTCCGAGATTCCCGAAAATCCCGGCGGGAAAAGGAAAAGGGAAGGATTTGGAGGGATATTGGAGCCATCCCGGGGGTCTTTCCCCCCCACAATTCCAGGGGAAAACCCCCCCGGGGGGTTTGTTTAATCCAAACCATCCCAAAATTCCTTATTCTTAAAAATATCCCTTAAAAATAAAAGCCAAGGGAATGTTTTTCCAGGCCTTTTTTCCTGTCACATCCACCGGTTTTCCCAAATTAATCCCCCAAAATTCCTGCTGGGGGGGGTTTCCCCTTCCCTGGGGGTTGTTCCCAACCCCTTTCCCGGCTCCACCCGGAAGGATTTTCCCTGGAAAAATGCGGCGTTTTGGCCGGGAATGATCCTGGATCGGGGGGGGCGGAGCCTGGCGGGGGCAGCGGCTTCTTCCGGGAAACCTCGGGAATTGTGGATCGGGATCCGCCTCCCGCCTTCCGGGGGGGGCCTGAGGGGATGGAGGGGTGGGATGGGGTGGGATGGGGGCGATTCCAGGTGGGAATTAGGGATAAAGTGGGGTGGGGAAGCCTCGGGTCCCCTCCTGGTGGCTCCTGTCCCATCCCAGTGTCCCAAATCCCATCCCAGTGTCCCATATCCCATCTCCTGTCCCATCCCAGTGTCCCATATCCCATCCCAGTGTCCCATATCCCATCCCAGTGGCCCATATCCCATCCCAGTGGCCCATATCCCATTTCCTGTCCCATATCCCATCTCCTGTCCCTTCCCAGTGTCCCATATCCCATCCCAGTATCTCATATCCCCTCCCAGTATCCCATCTCCCATCCCAGTGTCCCATCTCCTGTCCCATATCCCATCTCCTGTCCTTTCCCAGTGTCCCATATCCCTTCCCAGTGTCCCATATCCCATC